GCCTAGTTCTTCAATAACAGCTAGTAATTGTTGGTATTTTGATCCACTTGCAATCTGAACATCATCTCTTAATTGATTGAGAATGTTATCCTACCACTTCAAATATCAGCGAAAACACTGTAGGAAGTAAAAAAAAAAGAAACTTAGCAGATGCCGAATAAGCAACGCTAAACGTAGACTTAGGCAATCACATTTCTTGTGTGGAAGTTTAGCTGAATTGCTTAGAGTAATATGGTGTTTCGCGAATTTTAAGAGCTTTTGGCTAAACTCACAAGTAATAAAGGCGTATTTATCATTTGCAACTTTTCAACAAATTTGATAAGATATAAAAAACCTCAAATATTTGGCAATGATTATAAAATTTTTGCGCGTATATAACCAGAAACTATTAAACCCACTTCAATCACAATCAGGAATTAAGGGTCCTAGAAAACATTGACGTAGATCAGGTGAATAAAAAATAGGAATAAAATTGTGAATAGATAAACATGCCGCAATTGCGTATCTATGCGCAAGCAGTCGACGGTCGGGTATTGCGATCACACTTTTGAGTCACTAGTACTTGGTTTGTTTTACGATTTCAATTACAACAGAGAGTTTCTCGAAAAAGTAGAAAGATGAGGATCCAAGAATGAATAAAAAGCTACATTAGAAAAAAAATAAGGGTAAACGCACAAAAAAGAAGAAATTTCAGTTAGTCTAAGCTTTATAAGTATTTTTTCTCGCAGAAACGTTTTTTTGTGCAAAATTGGATTAACACACACCTGCGGTCCGGGAACAGAGTACTGCGGCAAAGAGGCCGTTGAAAGATCGTCAGCCATACGTGTAGACCCAGGCGTGATTGCAGAAATAAATAGAGTGACTATTTAGCACTCAACTTTCCAGACAGACGACACGAAGGACAATGAAGGGCTCCCAGCCGATCAATACCCTCCTCGTCCCCGCCCTCGGCAGGCGGGGTCATCGTTTCCACAGCGTTCGTCTTCGCGTCAGCCAGCGTTCACGGCAACCAGCTCGATCTCCGATCAGTTCCTGATCTTCAGGGATCATTTTCAATCGTTTAGAAATGCCGCAGGTCAGTTCTCTTTTGCTTCTCCTCGTTGGGCAGCAATGTTTACATGGAAATTGCTGAGGAGTTTAAAATGTCTTTCCATTGTTTTATCTACTTAATTTCGCTTGCTTCCATGCATTTGCATTTCCCACCATTAAAATATCTTTTAAAGTAGTTAAGAACTAAAGCACGGCAATACAGATTTAGTTGGAAAAAATGTTGTAGTTCAGCATTGTTTTTGCTTCCACAATTTATCTTTCATATTTTTTTCTTCTTTTCCCTCATTTTCAGAATAGTGCCGAGCACTGCGCGTTACGACTTAAATAGCGTAGTT